AGGTCGACAGTCAGACCCAACACCTCGACTTGCTGACGATTAGCCTCAAGCTTCACAAGAGAGAACCAACAAAACAAACCCCCTTGCCTGTTCAAAGTACATGGACCTCCGAACATACTCCTCTCTTGCCCGCCTCCAAACTGAACTCCAATCCACTTTCTTGTGGGTGCAGTCATGAATTTGGAGCGTCGTCACCCCTGGAGACCTCCGCCGCGCCCCTCCGGCCAAAATCGTCCGGGCCAAGGAGCGAGGATCCCTGCGTCCAAGATGAGTTGTTGAAAGTCATTGAACTTGATGGCTTTGTCGGTATCATATTCGTTGTTCAAGTGGAAGATATCGTTCTCACTAAACCTCTGGACGATTCAACAGGGACCCACGGCCATGCTCCTGATCTTAGGGAACAACCTCTCAGCTACTCTTTGAGGAGCAAAGGCACTTATATAGGTGGTTTGCCAGAGTCTTGAAACCCCAGTGCTCATCAACTCTCGGACCAAATGAGTAAATCTTGGCAGAACTGGACCCATGACAGCAAGAGCCGAGCAGCAGAAGTTCCGAAGTTGAAGGTAGCGATCGCTTGCTCAAGAACACCTGGAAGGTCTGCCAATCGAAATGCCAAAAGGATTGCGTTAGCGCTTCAATCTTCCTCACGTTCCAAGTGATTAGAGGTTCTGTGACAACTTGGTCTGTGTTCTTCAGGCCGCACCTGCCTGACTTGCCTCATCGGCCGTAAAGATCTGCGTCTTTTTGCAGAAGCTCAGGAACTCCTCGGCTCACGAGAAGTGGAGTGGCTCAGCATGGCTCGGGAACTCCGTGGGCTGGGCGGCCTTGAAGAACCGGTTTCAAGGAGAAGTTCTCCAAACAATTGGCTTTAGTATGCTTTAGTGGAAAAATTTGAGAGGATGGTGGTGTTTGGGGGAGCTCTCATCGGCAACATGTCACCGTTACCATATCAAGCTCGACCCCACCAAGGCACTTGAAGGCAAATGTGGTTACTCTGGCTGGCATCCACCTCCTGCCCCAGGACCCCGCCGCAAGACGTGGTGCTGATGGGCAAGGATTACAGTAATACTTTTGAAGATGTTTGAAGAATGAATTCGAGGTTGGCTTCTAAGATCTTCAAGGAAATCCCAAGGAATCTCGCTTGGCCGGTCATTCGACTTCTCATTCCTTCATTAATTAGTTGCACACTTGGAGTGATCCATGTGCTCTGCCGGAAGTCCTGGAAGAGCACATGCAACATGCGAAGCAACGAGAAGGGCACCACAAAGCTCTCCCTCAGCGAGAAGCAGGACATGGAGAGCTCACCCTGCTAACCCACCCAGTGTGCTTCGGCCCTGGCTTCGTGATAGCATGCACATCGTGTGCACACGTTGTGCACGTGAAGTTTGGTGCCTCCGACATCCGCCCTCGGTCCGGCAGCGCCGACCCGCCAAGTCGAGGCACGGCCCTGGCAACTCATCGAGCACGCGCACCTTTGGCACCAGCTCTTGAGGGATCCCCCAGTCAGTGGCCTCGCTGGCAAGGAGTGTTTGTTCGGGGGGCTTGCGAGGTTCCGAACATGAAACACATCCTGGGAGGATGTTCTGAGTTTGAGTTCAAGCACTGTGTGCATCGTACCGGGTGATCATATGAACTCATGATGTTCTTTGTTCTTGGTCCCAGTTGGTCAGTGTCTCGTATCCACAAGGTCCGTGTGGTGTAAAGCCACGCCTTGCGCATCAAGTGCTTCTCCAGCTCCCAGTCTCCCACACTCTCATCTAGCAGCATGGCCTGCCCCAAGCGGGAAGCTTGAGAAAACTTGTTGACAGCACTTTACGTCAAAGTGGCCTGAGAAGAAGCACAAACGTGTTTGCGGGTTGATGTCCCCAGGTGCAAGACCCAAAACGTAGGGAATTCTCAAACCACCACAAGCAAGCTGTGCAGTGGCTCCTTCGTCGACTCCTGCTTCCTCACGACGTAGGCAACATTCTCGATGAACACCTCGCAACTGTGCAAGCTCTTCCCCCTTGACAACCTTTCAGGTCGAGGCTACGCGCGCCCTCCTCCTTGGCAGTGACCAACCCTGCTGCTTGCACCCACCACCCGTCGCCGAGTCGCACATCGCGAGACCTCTGCGTGAAGGGCCAGGCTTTCTTTCAGCCGATCGACTGAGAAGCCTCGACGTTGCCTGCGCGCATCAATGGTGTCCAATGAAAAGGCAAATGAAAACACCAAGTGCTTCCAGCAAGAAACATGGTGGAGCCGATTGGTTTGGGGCCCCGAAGTTCCAACCAATCGAAGCATGGAGAGACGCTGCATCTTCCAGCACACCAGTCGGACGACGCGTTGAGCTGGAGTGTCGCATCTTCCAATTTCGGGTCTGTACGGTCTTTGGGGCTCCTTGGGCCTCTAAGAAAATGATGCACCCCCCCCGCCATTAACAATGTAAGTGGAAAGCCACCTGCTTGTAGAGACAATTTGTCTTCCGGGCCTATGTTCCATGTTTCAGGGAGGGGACACACATGCCAACTCCACAGAACTTTTTCGTGCGTTTTTCCCACCATGTTGCGCAAGCCACAGAGATTTACAAATTGTCCTATTCGGACGCAAAACTGAGGTCGGAGAGTGCGTCCGCAAAGAAACACATACAAGGAACACCCCACAAAGCTCTGCTATAATTCACACTGAACAAGGCAAGTTGCCTGGCTGCAGGTGACCAAAAGGGCCCATGAAATGCCTGAGCCTCAGCTGTCAGACATCGATAGAAATTGTGCTGCAATCTGAGGGTAGGCAAACTTCCTCAATCAAAGGACCAGTTGAGTTCCCCATTTCGATTTCCAATGAACTGTACAACAGTGAAAGCTTCTCCTTTGGCCCTGCCAGACACAGGAGTAGAGATATATAACTGCGATTGCAGCACCATGGCTAGCAGTTGCTGTAACTACTTGACATTACCACAGTGAGCGCTCGTGACGCATGAGGAGCTGAACATGTCATCCTTCATAGACCGGTGTCTACATCGTCTTCCACCCTTGGACGAGCTGGACTTTCCACACGCCCAGCGACACCCCCTCGAGCTATGCGAAGGCAAGCCTGTCACAGCTAGGCACAGCTCGATTGACGGACCTTCGTCACTGTCGTTGATGTCACCCAAGCAGCCGCCCCAAGAAGAAAATTACAATTGGATTCCGGTTCGGTATGTTCAAAATTGATGTCCGGAGTCTGAGTCCTAACTCATTCAACTCCAATCGCTAGAACGATTGTTAGATTCATGGTCACACCAATCGCTGGTGGCACCTTTCAAAGGCCCACCCTTCCTCAAACAAACTTATACATCTTATACAGTATATACATGGACGGTGAAAAGCTGACCCTACCGTTTTTCTGAAGACTGGTGTGCTGACGTCGACGCCTGCAACTTGCCAGTCACCAAGGCCGGTCGAAAGGCCATGCCAGCCCATCACACTCAGAATTCGTGGAGGCTGGGTTTGGGGGGTTGATCGCATGTGCAGTGGGTTCGGCAAACATTGTTGGGAGGCGATGCGCTGCTCTCCGGCGAGTTGTGTCCGCTCGTGTTTGTGGCCGACACACAAATGGAAGATCCTCTCGTGTGGTTGCAACACGCCATCAACAGGCAAATTTGATGTATCTGTCAAGTGCCTTCGGTTTGAGCTGACGGGCCGACATGCAAACAGCCCAAAAACATAAAAATTGGATTTTGTTCTCCACATGCTGGAGGCAGCATGTCCCTTATAGGAATGGGAGTCGGTTCTATCATGTTCTGAGACTGGCATCCTGACAATGCGAAAGACTGTTGGAATTTGAAGCGTCCAAATCTTACAATCGAAGCTCCCAATGTGCAGCGAAGTGCGCCCGGTGGTCTTTAACCTCTTTTTTGAATACTCTCAGCCAGTGACCCTGCCGCCCTGCCGTCTTGCAGCAAAGGCGAAAGATGTGCACACTGAGGTGAAAAACGTCCCCCTCAGAGTCCACTCGATAATCAGGATCCCTGAATGCTAAATTACATGGCACTATGCTACGTGAATTCGGAAAACGGTTTGGGTCTGCCTGTTCCAGCCCAAAACTTCCTTCTCTCTCCAACTCACTGGTGCGTTATCCTTTCGAAAGGTAAGTCAAGCTTGGGAGCCTTTTCCAAAAGGGTTTTCTTCATGTAACTCATGCCAAGCCGGTCAGCTTAGTCTAACGGTTGTTCGCATGATCCAATTTCAAGCCATGCACCAACGCGTCTGAATCATCAATTTGGACCACTGTCCCTGACGATCCTGGATCACCTCTTCACCAGAGGCTCCTCAAAAAGCCGATAGAGCCTCAGCGGACACACTGAGGCAAAAAGAAAAGTTACAGCGAACGTTGGCTTCAACCGGTGATGTTAGGAGGTCTCGACCATATCAAGTCTCAAAGGTACAGAATCTAGGACCATGCAACGATAGTGACAAGTTGGAATAACAATAGGAAGCGTCCAAGCTCCCAGCATTAAATTCACGCTTATATACATGTTTGTAAAAATTGTAAGAGGCATGAGACCTCTTCACATGTAGCTTGTCTCATCCTTTGGGCTATGGTGGCTATGGCTCCCTCTCGCTGTCTTCTAATGCTTGTCCTGTGCCAAGCCGCACTGAAAAGACCATGCCAGAAAGGCCGTTTGCAATGATGCCTCTGGCAAGCTGATCCGGAGTGTCTCCAGAGAAACGAGCAGTCTCTCCACGAGTTCTCTCTGTGTTCTCTACCGGTTTTGAAAGAGCCCGCAGTCACTAAGGAATGTCTCTGATACGCCTCTTTGGCCTTGAAAGAGCGTGTCTTGAGACCCTTCCGCGCTGAGGAATGACTCTGATACGCCTCTTTGGTCATATTCTGATACCCGTGGCATGCTGCGAATCTTCAAAGTGACCCTCAAGTCACTTCCCCGCATACCACAAATATAGTTCAGGTGTCTCAGAAAAGGACCACAACCGGCCTTTGTTCTCAAAGGACCACAATCAACCGCCAGCAGAGCGGCTTCTGTCTGCAACACACCCGCGGTTGAGTTTGGTGACGTGAGCACACAACCATGTTCAAAAGAAAGGAAACTTCCACCTATCCAACCTGTCCCTGAGAAGGTGGTAATGAGCCCCATGAGGGTCTACGAGTGACAAGAGGAAAGCGGAGTTCCACACTACTACCTCCACAGTTCAACAACATCCCAAGTCCCAGCAACGAGGTTCCCCAAAACAGTGATGAATCTGAAGCCTATCTGAGATCCATTATTCACAAATCACATGCAAATACACCTGCAAATGCAAGACTCCAACTACAAAACCACTTGGGTTTCTCATGCGTGGCCGCTCTTGGCCCAAGCGGCGTGTGGTCAATCCCCTGCTCAGCAAGCCAGTGACCCCGTCCGTGCGGATGACTGCCCTCAGAAGATCAGGAGACTGGTCTGAACAAAAAGTTAGCTTCCATAATCCTTTGACAAGTCTTTGGATGGAGTTGATAGAAACGAAAAGCGTTTCTAAGCGAAGGGAGACTATTGTTCCCATTGGGGGCCACTGATGACTGACTGTTGAGCCTCATCCATGTGCCATTGTACGGCATTTGAGGCATAATCTCAACTTGTGAGCTTCTGAGCACCCTCTTTGGTCCATTGGTCGTTGGAGACGTGCTCTCACCGCCCTACACCTGAGGCCTTCGGCCAGGACACTGTGCGATGCCAAGGTAGGAGCCCTGATCGTGCGTCTGCCGGTGCGTCTTCAACACCCGTAGGGAGTTGGACACAGTGTCAGAGCAGACCTGAGCAGAACAGCGAGGTTTGTGTGCACCCAGTGGCGCCACACCGCCACACCTGCATCCCACACACATTGAAGTGGCCTGACTAAGCAGGCCCTCGCATAACTTATCTTTTCTCCAAACAGCTTGTAAAACTGTCTTTTCTCGAAGCAGTGTACTGTTGGGGTTCTCTGTTAGGAAATAGAGGGTTGGCCACGATAGCCGTGGCCCGGCCTTGCTTGGCGCCTTGTCCAGGCCTTGTCCCAGTCTGTGTGTCCTGCTTGCCCACATTGTCGGCCCACCGCCTTGTCTGGGCCTCTGGGCCTTGTTCCCTGCTTGGCCGAACCGTTTTCTTTTTCTCCACCGCCTTGTCCGGGATTATTTTCTTGCCGATGTGAATGCAACCGTGATGCTGCGCTTCAAATTTGATATCATTTTCGGAGTTTCTCATGACACATATCCCCAAAAATCCTGCTGAAATTGTTTGGAGTCTTTTTTTTGTTATGCTGGAAGATTCTTTTCCTACATACAGTGTCTCTCTGTATATATCACGATGTCACGATCTCAAAAGGATCGGGTGGGTGTCAAACGGGTGGTGTCAAACGGGGTGGGTGGGTGGGGGTCCAACAGCAGTCGGTGGGTGCGGCGTCTTCAGCTCCAAGGGACGGAAGCACAAAAGCCAATCCCCGCATTCCGCAGCAGCTGCTGGGAGCGCTTCTCGTACTGGGGCAGCTGGCGATTGAGGCAGTTGAAGACCTCGAGGCCGAGGCCGAGGGCCGAGGCTCGGTGGGGTTCAAAGACCAATGGCATCAAATGACCAATGAACCGATGAGTCTGGGGGAGCGGGCGAGTCTGGGGGAGCGGATGAGTCTGGGGGAGCGGGCGAGTCTGGGGGAGCGGGCGAGTCTGATGGTCTCTACAACCACCCAGATGGACTGCTGGGATGGGTGCCCTCTCTAGGCACAGAGATTTTAGGGTCTGAAGGATGCGACCCAAGCTGCAAGCTGCTCACATGGACGAATGGACGAATCTGGTTTCAAATTGACACATCATAGATGGCTGACGGACCAAGATTTAGGAGGCCAAAGCTGCCAATAAAGCTGGGCACAAAAACTGATTCCCTTGACCAAACTGGTACCCTACCATTCAGAGCAACACTGGAAATACACAAATGTGCATGCTTGTGAGCAACATCTTGCCAATAGACTGCTGGATGGGGATAAGAAGTGAATGATTAAGGCTGAGCCACTGGTCATGGGGATGAATGAATTTGAGTCTTCCCCCCTATGCGGCAACGATCCAAACATATCCAAATCAACTCCCACGAAAAAACCTGCAAAGGGATCAAAGGGCATCCCAAACACCCAACCCGTTGCAACCTAATTGAATATCCTGAAACATGTTCGCAAGCCATTCCGAGCACATCTTAAGAGGAAGATCTCTTCGATTTCTAGGAGGTGCAGTCCGCAGGTTCCAACGCCATTTCCGCTTCCACTCCAGAACGTCCGCTGCGGCGCTGCGGAGCGCCATGCTCCACCTCCAAACGAGTTCGGGGCTGAGCCGCTGTGAACCACGGGTAGTGACTGACGAAGGTCGCAGCAGAAGATGCCATGGCCCCACGAAAAAGCACGGAAGATCCTCCTGTGGGCACGGCGATGTCTTCAGCAACAATGCAGATGAGATGAGTTAGGTCGGCAACAAGTCACTTTAGATCATTTAGATGTTGACACTTTTGGCGGGCTATGTCTTTGGTCCAATTCCGCCAGCCTCCCAAAAAGCACAGGCCTAGACCAACAGGCCAACGCTTCCCCAGAAACTGGTGACATTGGGTCGGTCTGAATGTACTTCCCTCACCCCGTCCAGCCCGGCATCGGGCAAAGAGCTGCGCGAGCCCATGATGACCATCAACCTGCGCCATCTTGAGACAGTTTAGGTCGCACCACTCGAGAACTCTCAAACACGGTGAGGAGCATGCTGGAGCGCAGCGGCTATGCGTCTTTCTTTTCTTGTTTTGGTCTGGACAATGGATCAAAAAGAAAGCTGTCCTTCACAAGACAACTTTTTGGCCCGCTGAACCCATGCTGAACCTGCAGCCTGTACGATGTGTAATTCAGGAAGGAGAAACCTGCAGCTCCCACCTGCAGAACCGTCTTCACGGCATCCAGAGGCATCAACGCGATGCGGAGGCTTGCGGCGGAGGCGGACGCAAAAATGGTCTGAATCCAAACCTCGGGTGGTCTAGCGAGAGGTTTGGCGTGATGAACTTGGAAGACATGTCTAGCACAGGGGTTTGGAACTTGAGGCATGCTAGGTGCTCAAGCCTCTGATCCTCAGGAGCTTCGTTTTGATACACACCATACACCCTACACCCACCGGCATGCACCATGTCGGCTTGGAAATCATCGGGCGACAAAAGGAAGTGTTCTCGCTAAAGCCAGCTCGCGGTGTGTCCATGACACATGTTAGCACTACGGACTAGATGGAACGAACAATTGCGGACGAATCACCGGCCAATTCTCTGCATGTGCACTCTGGAAAAAGGCCAACACCCCGGCATTGGCGGAAGAGTCGACGAAGCGCATCAATGGCCCCTGGAGCAGTCGGCCAAAACAACGTGTTGGTCGGTGAAGCAACCTGCAGTAGGGCCACCACCACCCATCCCATCCCATCCCTCTAAGACGAATTGGATCGATGTCCGCAGGTTGATTCGCTTCACCAGTCGAAGCGAATCAGATGAAAGGTCGAAGCAGGCGCCTGCACCAGGGCAGGCCCGATGCCGCGATAAAAGCGCGGGAGGCCGCCCTGCACATACAGGTCCCGCATCGCCTCAATCGCGATGTGCGGCCGTCCAAGTCTAGTCTACCAGTATATTGTGTTGGCTGTAGCAAGCAGTAGGATCCTAGTGTTTCCATGTTTTCCCAGGGCAAGCTCTTCCTACACCCAAACTATGGTGGGAAGGAAATCCGTGGGCAAAACCAGCTCGAGATGAGGGGCAGTGAGTCACAACACACCGTGGCCCAGCCTCGCGCATCGTCATGCCATAGCGGTACTGGTAGTTCCTAAGCTTAGAACTCTGAACGAAACATGACTAAGTGAGTGGACACACAAGCCCTTATTTATTTCTCCTGTTCCTCACCACTGGTGAGGAACGGGTGGCCTCGTTGCCTGGAGATACACTTGCATGATACATCTGCCCGACGCTTCTGCAAAGGAAGCAGCATGATGGTCCGAAGCCACATCAGCGAAGTGATTTGCAAGGCCATTGCCTCGACCATCGAGGTGAGTCTTTACTGTGGCCCCAAAAGGTTCGAACCCCATGTGGAAGTCATAGGCACCGGTGCTTGGATTGCTGCACGGCGCAGATCTCCCATCCATTCATCAAAAAGCTATGTGGAAGAAAAGCCTTCGAGACATGGGTGTACATTGATATCGGACCCCTGGCCTTTGTTGGGGTTTGGTCTATTTGCCTTCTTCCAGTGTGTCAAGCTGGGAGGGCTCCCAATAGTGTTTTGGGGGGGCCACAAGAACCCGTGGGCTGACCACCGAGAGTTCCCCTTAAGGATGGCGAACACCAAGAGCTCCAAACGTTGAATCAGGGGAACAGGACTGGTCAAAGCGACTTGAGAGAGGAGGGGGGTGAACGAAAGGTAGCAGGCAATCACAAGTAACCCTGGCAGAACTCCATGACGGCGTGAACCGGCGCAGGGGGATTTGATCCAGTGGGGGGCCCCCCCCCCCGACGAACAGAATCAACTCTTACAGGACCAAACTCAATGCACAATCCCAACTCCTGATTGTAATACATTTTTGCTAAAGCAAGGAGAACTCAGGTAGCTCAAGCTACCTTTCCTGAACAGCTGACGGGACGATGTTCAAGCCATTCCCAAGACTCCAGAGACAGTACGGAGTTCAACTGCCAACTTCACCACAGGCTGCAGGGTTTCCTCCCCTGTCTACAGTAGTGATTCTCGCCGAATTCTCGCCCAGTAGCACTAGCACCAGCCACTCCTCCACACAGTGCTTGGCTGGTGCTGCTGCGAAACACACTCCAAAGCCCAAAGGCCTAAGCTGGAGTCCGAACCGATGCCCTGACGTGGATCGAGCGGGCATCAGGACCCGTCTCATGTTCGTGGCTGCTTGTTCATCCAAAAGTTCTGCCGTGCTTGCACACCAAGTGGTTTGAGCAAGACACATCTCAATCCTGTCAATCCTGCTGGCGTGTGCACGCCCAAAATGAATTCAAAGGTGCAGCTCAACTGAATGAGGTGGTCTATTTGGAGGGTTCTCACCGCAAGTCCCTGATCCCTTGGGTGTTACATCTGCCGTCTTCCCATCGCTTCGGATGTGTGCGGTTCAGTGACAAGTCCCACCTCTGGAAGTGGGGCAGGAACCGAAGCGTCAGCTGCGCCCATTTGTTGCAGTTCTTGTTGAATCCCTGAGGTGAAGGCGACTCAATCCCGATTTCACCAAGTTCTGTTTGTCGCAGTTCAAGTTCTGCTTGTCGCAGAACTTGGGAAGGTCTTGAAGAGGCATCACATGTGATGGACAAATTGAGATTGATGAGGCCTTCACTTGCAGAATCCTGTGCAGGCAGGTCTTCATGGACAAGGTGCAGTGAGCCTTCAAATAGTTGGCTTCCTTCACGGCCTTCCCCAAGGCCACTTGCAAGTCTTGGATCCTCTCGCCCTGGCTCAGCCTCGAACCAAACTACCACATCAGCAACACACGAAACACCGCAAAGGCACAAAGCACGGCCTGCTGGAGTGAAACTTAAACGGTTGACCTTGGCCTTGACTCTTAACGCTGTTCCCAGGAGCATGGAATGGTACTTTGCCTCCAACTCAGCCGCCTTGGCCTCATCCTGTGTCCTTTCACCCGGTGCCAGGTAGATCCAGCTGTGTCTGAACACCAAGGGTTTAGAAACGACCGGAAGCTTCGTTCGTGGAGGGTGTGTTTCTCAGACATGCATCGACTTGGCGGACCTTCTTGCGTTTGCACCCGAACTCTCGCATCTTGCTATGGTATGCTGTGAGATGCTGAAAGTGCTACTGCTGTGCCCTGGCATTTTTGGCATGACGTGCCGCTCAGGCTGTGAAGCCCCTTGGCCTTGGCAAGACTCAGTGCCCTGGAGAGCATTGTAGCGTCTGCAACTGATGTTGGTCAGTAGTGGATGGCCGTGAGTGTTAAATCCACTGAAGGTTGTAGAATATATATATATATATAAATACATAGCCACCGTCCAGCCCCATGACTGCTACAGTTAAAAATT